ACAAAGTACATTAACGTCTTAATGTGGAACACATTCATTTTGTTGATTCATTTAAACTATGTTTATATGAAAGTCGCATGTGCCGTAATAAAAACAAAGTTATTATTATAACCAAATAATTCTTATTATGGTAATTTCAATCATTTGGCAAACAGGATGTATGCATTCTACGTTAATATATTGTCATATAGCTTTCTGAAGTTGCCGAGGTAAATGAATACACTTTCAATTTGAATCCGTGTCTCTTTTTCTTTAAATTTTCTTTAAAGAATATTCTGAGAGTAAAAATTGCAAATAGGTTTACGATGGCAGACGTTCTTTTGGATCGAAACAGTCAAACAGTCTTTCATGCCCTTACCAAGACTGATATATAACATTCGTTTTCTTTTACTGTTCTGGGATTTCAAAATATAATTTGGTTGAAATGCACTAGAAATTTCAAATAAAGGGAACCTAACTCCTTTATTTGCTGTCATTTTAACCAAAAGTTATCTAGAGATTTCTCGAATTACCAGATACACAAAAACGAAAAACTTCTATTTCTAACTCAGGACAAGGCTAACTTCAAAATAGGATGGTAAGGTCGGCGGGTTTTTCTTTCGGTCTTGTTTTGAAATTCTTCCTTTCAAAGACTGACACGTACTTATTTAAATATGACTTGAACACTTAACCTCCAGTAAATTATCCCGTATATCTATTTTCTTGAATACATCGCATTATTTTTCGATAATGTTAACACCTTATCCTCTCTACTACATGTTTTATAAATACGTTAATATTTCTTTTACAATATTGATTAGAAGTTATTTAATAATCAAACATTCCAAATGTATATAGGTAAATGACTACGTTTTTTGCTGATAAATTATTTAAATTTGTATACTGTATCTGAAAACATTAAAAAAACATGGCTATCCGAGGTCGTAACGACCGTTCTTTATGCTTGTTTCAGCTTTTCGATGCTCTTCTATACTGTGTACCAGAATAAAGTATATACAACCTAAACTTGGAAAATATATATATGTAATAAATATGTAACACTCTCAAACGTGTCGATTACTTGAAACGTGTTCAGTCCTCTAAACGTATCCACTTCGCCTTAAAAGAGGGACGAAAGATACCAGAGGGACAGTCAAACTCATAGATCGAAAACAAACTGACAACGCCATGGCCAGAAATAAAAAGACAAACAGACAAACAACAGTACAGATAACACAACATAGAAAACTAAAGACTAAGCAACACGAACCCCACCAAAAGCTGGGGGTGATCTCAGGTGCTCCGGAAGGGTAAGCAGATCCTGCTCCACATGTGGCACCCGTCGTGTTGCTTATGTTATTACTAATCCGGTAAATAGTCTAATTCGGTAAGTCACATTCGTGAAAAGGGAAGGGTATTGTAGTTACGACATAAGGAACATATCCGATATCATCTGTGAAACGGTTATTCCGTAACGGTCAACCAACTCGTGATGGCGTCCGTAAAATTTACGAAGGGATGATTTCAACTTTACCATTTGGAACTCTTGGCTTAATAGCTTCCTTGTGAGCAGCAATCCTTTATAAAGGAAATCATGATAGGAAACACAAGCCCGGGAATATCGTATCAATTGGGAAATATATACTCCGTATATATACTTAACGTGTTCTAAGATTACAAATCGCCTAAACGTGTCCATTTCGCCCAAACGTGTCATAAAATCACAAATCGCATAAACGTGTCCGATTTCACATCCCCCAAACGTGTCCATTAATTAACTTCGCTCAATCGTGTCTGAATTTTTTCTATCTCAAACGTTTCTGACAACGTGTCCACTAATAGACGCTAAAAGTCTCGAAATTTGCATCCGGTGCATTAAAAATGGTACCGTTTATGTTATTGCTTAATTGAACATTTGGTAATTACCAGTGGTTTTTGTGTATTTAATATCTTATCTTTTATTTAAGGTGTCATCTATAGGATTCGTATTTTTAAAACAGTTTATGAACAGTCGGGTTTTGTACAAAATACATTCAATATAATAAGTCTTTTCCTTGACAATGTAGTTTAAAGGATTCCAATTTCCAGCTATATTTTTTTAGACAGAAAGTGCTACAGCCATTTACCAATAGAAAAAAATTAAAACCGTATAGGTCATTGTTTGGGAGGGGTATTTGATTTCCATTTATTCCTACCCACTTCTTTTCGCGCTTGGATTTTTATATTCCTTAAACATAGTATTATATTAATTCAGATTGCTTACTATAAATAGAGTCTGGAGAAAACGACGCTTACAGCACATTTTTAGTATTAAACGATACAGTTAACCTGCAAAAATTCAAAACATGATAGAGCAATTGGTCTACCTTCAGTGATACTTATTAATATATATCGATGACTACTATAAAATAAAGGAAGTAACAGTGGACTTAGCTATTAAATGTATAAAAATTGCATATAAAAAAGTACATATATTCTAAAACTCTGCCATTCACTGCCCGAACAAAACATTCTGATCATAAAACAAGCAAAAAGACGATCATAGGGATTGTTAAAACATTTGGGGATAGTGATGTTACTGTTGGTTTGTATTGAAAACCTTACTTTAGTTGTATTTGACAAAACTTTTAGAATATTTTGGTCCTCAATGCTCTTCAACTTCGTACTTTATATGGCCTTTTTATTTATTTTTTTTATTTGATGAGTCTTTTGTAGACGAAACACGCGTCTGGCGTATAAAATTTCAATCCTAGTATCTATGATGAGTTTATTATTTATATCAATTTGTCAATGAACTAATATCTTGAAGAAAGCAGTAAATTCTTTAATTAGTTCATACGCAAAAATAGATAAAACGAGCTCTGCAAATAACATTGATTAAAAAAATACAGATATTTATTAAGTTAAGTCAAATCTTAAATGAAAAGTTTTAGTTCCGTAAATACTCATACTGATATACGATGAAAAACATTACTCACCAGGATGAGTTGACATTATTTCAAGAATACTTCCAATTGGGATAGCAGCTTCCTGGAGTGTTACAGCATCTAATACTGAAGAAGTAAATTTTGCACCATTCCCATACATCTTAACTTCCTTTAAGTTTTTGTCCCATGTCAAAGTTATATGTGACCATTTTCTTACATTTACTTCATTAGACACAGCATGGTGAAAAGAGTGTCTAGAAATATTTAGAAATACATTATCAATATTTGTTTTATAACCGTTGTTCCGTTGTTGTTGGTGTTTTGTGTTGTTTTTGGTGGTGAATCATCATCATCATCATCATCATCATCATCATCATCATCATCATCGTATAGACAAATCTACTTGCATATAACATGGTGTTACTTCAGTGGCTTTATTTGGTAAAATTATGAAGAACAGAGTCAAAAGCTTTGCGCCGATCAGTGTCTGTAGGGTCCAGTATTAGAAATCATAATAACATATAGTAATTGAATTTCATTTCATTTAAATATTTCATCCATAAAGTACTTACTCAGCTACAGTAAAGACCATTTCCGCTCCAACTGAAAACTTAAAATTCACCAACGAAAACAGAAGTGTCGTGTTGGTTGCATTTGGACATTTCATGAAGAATCCGATACTAAAGCTGTCTATACTTCTAAGTAATGATCCAAGCTTTACTGAAGCGTTATCACACATGAAAGTTAAATCTACCCCTATAATGAAACGTTGTGACATTTTCAACAAGATACAACAATAGAAATAAATAAAAAGTAAAACAAATTTCTAAACTAGGACCGATTGTAACCGACATCGACAGAAAAAGCTCATCTGATCTAAAATTTATCGACTGTATCATATGTATTGTGAATTCTTTTATAGATTTTGGATTCACATGGCGGGCGACGCATTCATAGCAGGATACGTTTACCTGGACCAAGCTTTGTTTGAGCTTATGCGATTACCTCAGGTTTATTCGCATGGTTAGTTTATTCGAAATTCATTTAAGAGTCATGAATATTTGTAAACATCTGCTTCCTTTTATTCAGATATATACATGTGGGATAGACATCCATGGTGGTCTCGTGGAAGCAGGTTTGTCACGAATTAGAGATGCCGTGGGCTCAATCCGCTACTGGTTTAAACCAGAGACTGTAAAATTAGTATAAGCTGCCTTTCGCTATGCACTATGCATTTAGGTAAAAGAGCAAAGGCTTGTCGGTTCAAAGTCAGACTAAAGTGTCCTGTTAGATATATCCGGGTAGACATGTCTTCATGTGTACTTTTACCTTTAGAACTGGTACGTTTAATCTCCGGTTGAGATTTGTCTAAAACTGTTTCTATTTAAACATATGATTTATCGAATTCGTTTATGTTATTTTTTGTTTGACAAGACTCATCTGTCGTTAGCAACTGACAGTAAATATTCATAATGCACCCGTTTAATGTGAAAATCGACATCATGTACACAAAGGGGTTGATTCCTGTTATATTTGTTTTATAATAGTATAATTTTGTATCTGTCCCAAGTCTAGAGCCTGTAATTAATTGGTTGTCGTTTGTTGCTGTGTAACATATTTGTTTTTCGTTCATTATTTTGTCCATAAATAAGGCCGATAGTTTTCTCGTTTGAATTGTTTTACATTTGTCATTTCGGGGTCTTTTATAGCTGACTATGCGGTATGGGTTTTTCTCATTGTTAAAGGCCATACGATGACTTATAGTTGTTAATTTCTGTTGCATTTGGTCTCTTAAGGAGAGTTGTCTCATTTGTAATCATACCACATCTTCTTTTAATATTAGACTTTATTTTTTCATAAAATGTCAGACATGCTGTAAGCCGTCCGCAAATCAAGTTCCAATAGAATTCAAAAAGAGTATGTATTCGATTAGATTACTAGTAAATAATGTACATAGCATAGGAACTACAGTTTTGGCAGCAACACTTATACATCATATTACATGTTCTAATTTTAAAACATATTGCTAATATAGCGTATAACACATCATTCATACATACCTTGACATTCCGCTTTACTTTTAGATCCTGTTGAATTAGTAAACTCTAATGGATCACATACCAAACACGATGTAGATTCATACATAGACTGGTATTGTCCAAGAGGGCAAGGTGAACATGGTTCAACACCTGTGCTAGAATAAGTTCCAGGAGGACACATATCTGAAACATATCCAAATGAACACAGCTGTATATTTTCTTAGTAAAATGAAATGTGTTCCCATGTAAACATATTTTCATTCTTATAATGCATAACTTCCTTTATATGAAATGCACTGGTGTATACCTTCTTCCAAAAGGAAAGAATATACTGTCGGAAAAGATTCACTGTTATATCTATAACAATTATATTTAAGTCCTAGGTATAATATACTAAAGCAATGATAATTCATTATATCTTTACTCTTAATTTGCTAGTTTTCCTTCTTTTACTTTTCTTAATTAGTATCACTTAGCCATGTTATCTAAACGCTTGTCTGGTATTCCTCTTTTTGATTAATTGCTTGCATATTGCTATTATGAAACAGTTCAAGTTATGTTTGATTACAAAAAATAATTGAACATAGGCCACTCAATCAATACTCTTAACAAATTATAAAGAACTTTTTAAATTCCAAGAAGATAAATGAAAATTATGTAGATCATGTCTGTATCATCATCAGGCAAAGTCTATCATATATGACATTATTTCGTTTAACCCCCCATTAAGTATTTAAACTGCACCCATCCATCGATTAAATCATTCCTTTGGCTTCCAGTTACTTTGATTCTTAGCTTTTATGACGTATGTTTTAAACACATGGATGTGCATTGGACTCGGTTTCACTTCGCCTTACTAACCGGTTGTGATGCATTCTTGTCAAAATGTTACATGCTAAATTGTTACATTTCTATTAATGTGCATTTATGAGAGTTAATTGCTTACCTTTACAATCATTTATACTTTTTGACCCATTATCTGCTGTAGATTTTTCATGTAGGGCATTTTGTGCAATTTATTTGGTATTCTTTCTCTTGAAAGTTACCCTTGTCACATTCATGACATTCCCCGTCTTGCAAATATTTTCCAGGTGAACATCCGACTGAAAGCAGAATCAGTAAATGTGTATAAGGGTTGTAATTTTTTAAAGACAAAACTCGTGAAAATATGATATGTATATGTAATGAACACTAAATTGACAGCTTGAAGATAATTAGCCAAGACCAGATAACACACAATTGGAAACCAAACATACATAATGGTGCCATTTCATTAAATGTGAAACTTGTTCTACAACGGTAAATAATGGGGTCTACCCAGTTTTCCACTAAGCCCTTTAAAAACCGTTAACACATCTACCAGTTGAATTCTAAAGTACTATGACAAGGTTTCGTCCAAAAGTAATGACAATTTGATCTAGTTTCTGAAGAATGAAAGATGTATTCCAGTGTTTTAAATCTAATAACCGTAAAATTGTAGCACTATTCATCTGTCTCCTTTCCATTATTGATTTGTTATTCAACTTTTTGAATCCAGTGCCACTGACGAGTCTTATGTAGATGAAACACGCATATAACGTACTAGATTATAATTCAGGTATCTTTCACGAGTTTCAACAGTTTACACTTAAATACTGTATGATAATTAAGATTGTCCAGGATCTAAGTGTATCTTTGCTTTTTTTTACTAAAACAATGAACAGAGCAATGCGCATTTCTGATTTTAATGAAACAAATTAATCACTTTATTAAATTTCGTTTTGTTAAAAAAAGCTTATTAGGTATTTTCATGTTAAATGACCGTAATTGAATATCTGTTTCACAGATGACAACGGAAATGTTCAAATTGTCGTAACCACCATCCCGTCCTTTTTTCCTCCGAATTTGTACTTTCATGAGCAACACGACGGATGCTATATGTGACACAGGATCTGCTTGCCCTTCCGGATCACCCCTTGTTTTGTTCGGGTTTGTGTTGCTTAGTCATTACTTTCTATGTTGTGATTTGTAGAATGTTGTTTTTCTAAAGTTTGTCGTTTTTCGTTTTTAGCCATGGCATTGTCAGTTTGCTTTCGACTTTCCAGTTTGACTATCCCTTTGGTAGTTGGTATATTCCGCCTCTCTTTATCTATCGGATTTTTATCAGTGATTTAAACGCTTATGTCTCTTTACTTCACACTTGATTTTGTAAACAAATTCGATTACTTGCTTAATGAGATTGCCTGATGATTATCGGCCATAAAAAGGGCTTAACGAAACCTTTATCTTTCGGATTTTTAACAGCGATTTTAACGCGATAGTCTCTTAACCTTCACATTTGATTGTTAACAAATTTGTGTACTTGCCTAATAAAAGAACTTAACAAAAATACTCAACTCCAAGGCATTTTCAAAAAAGAGAAGTCCATAAAACTGACAAAATCAAATGCTATCAATCAACGGAACAAGTCAAAAAACAACTGCCATATTCCTGACTTAGTACAGGCATTTTCCGAAGAAATTGCCATATCATTATCGGCCATGAAAGGTGCTAAACGAAACACTTTAAATACCAGTATTTTTTTATGATCACACATTTATTATAACACAATCCCAATAATTGAAATGGAAATATGGTCAATCTTGAGTTCTCACAGTATTCTCTCTGTTCATACCAGACAAACTCTTATTTACGGATGGCAGTCAAAATTTCCCACTTTTTATTACGTTTGACTAACTCTGCAGAACTTACATTGTACCTATGTTTATTAATTGTAAATTAACTTTCGTTATATTAACATCTTTTATCTCAAAATTTCTGTTATCTCAAATAAAATTTAAACGATTGTGTCATTGTGTCACTAATCACAGCTTTTAAATGCTATGATGCTATAATGGTAAAAACCGGTCATGACATATTTGTATCGACCAGATAAAAGAATATTAGCCTGCCATTAAACTTTGATCTGGACATACTCACGTGCATTTACCAAATAATATAAAATTTGTATATACCACAACCACAAATACAAACCTCATTGAATTGAACTATAGGTGTACGTTCCGTTAATCAAGTTATAATTAACCTTTTTTGGCATTCACTTGTTTTTATCTGACAAAAGGACGTGTTTCTTTATATTGGACAAATATGCATTTAACATAAAATAGATCTATTAAATTAGTTATGCCAACGAATAATTTTGTGCGAAAAGTTGACATCTTACTACCTGTATATATATTGTATATGTCGTAAGATTGCAATTGTTAACTCACCACATCTAGCATCATCTTCATAGACTGGTTCTTGCCCAATTTCACATGGGAATTCTATCCAACCAAAAGTCATTCTTCCAGTAGTAGTTCCATTAACGTCAACTGCTCCTTTTGACACTTCACTTTTTATCAAGTTGCCCAAGTTTTGTAGAGTATCATCATTTCCCCATAGGGATTTAGTTGTCTCCCATTGTGATGAAACTTTAAAATCAACTATAATTTCATTATTTGTTGATCGTTTGAATATGCTCCGTCGGCGTCGACCGTTTGAAGGACCGCATGTAACAGTCACCCCTTCCACAGTGCAGTAAGCTGGACAAATATTATCCCATCCATATGTACCTTCAAGACTTTTCATCACCTCTACAAAATTATTCTGTATACTCTCTTGAACACCAGAGTCTGAACAATTCCCTGAGTAGTAGTAAAATAATTCACCGGGCAATATTGCATTCGATGGATGAACTCTGTCTGATAAAAAGATTTAAAAAAACAATGTATTTCATGTATAAAATGCATATATGCATAAATGCGAAGGCTATACTGTTTTACTGACACGTACTGTAGTTAATGCTTACACTACAATTTTCGGGGGAATTTTGGAACACTACATTTATAGTAAACAAGGTAACCAAGTACAATTTAAACCTTATTTTGTTCGTATTTTCCTCGTTTATATACTTGATGTCCTTCAATTTACAATTCTTTCACATAAAATTGCTACTTTTCTTTTTTTCATGGGGGATTCGCGGCCAAAACAGGAAAGAATTTGGGAAAAATTGCGATTTGATAATATTTCAATGCAGTTAATTTATACATACACCTGTAAAAAGATTTTAGCGCTGCTCTGATTTTTCACACAAACCAAAATATCAAAACATATATAATATTATGTATGGCTCCGAAAGTATATAAATAAGGTCATTTTGTCATTGACAAAACCAAAGCCATATTTAAATTGAAAAGATTGAAGGAAAATGACGAATTTAATTTACCACCTTTTTGACAGACAAGAGGATGTCTTGGGTACTACAAATTAACAATGCTTTACTTTGTATGCTTACAAAAAGAAACGTTTGATAGCACTGTTCCTTTTGATAGGAAAACGAGAATACTTGTCTGTGGTAACAATAAACACAGCAATGGTCAATACAGAGTTAACCTACCGTCAACACGAATAATCGATGCTAACCATCTTCTCATTGCATTAGTCAAATGTTGAATATGTTATGGAAGTAGTGAAAAAGTATAACAAAAAAACCGAATTCAAAGGCAAATTCAAAAAGGGGAAGTCCATAAATACTGACAAAATCAAATGCTATCAATCAACGGAATAAGTAAAAACAACTGCTATATTCCTGACTTGGTACATGCATTTTTCGAAGAAAAAAAATAGTGGGTTAAACCTGGTTTTATAGCTGAAAGCAATTACATCTGCAAAGCGTGAGATAAATCATCGAGATTCTAAACATTTGATACTCTCTCACATACTAACTATGTCACAGATATGCTAAATCGATGATTCATCTAAATGCTACAACAATAACAAATTCAACGTTTCAACCATGGCATGAGAAGGCGGTGTGAATCGGTGATTCGTATAATCGGTTGTTTCACTCTGTATTAAACATTGTTGTGTTTATTGTTGTCACTGACACATATTTTCGTTTCATAAAAACTGAAAAAGGGGTGAATTGAGCTGATGAGCTTTTCTACTTGAATGCACCAATAGTTGAACATTGTCCATTTTAATACCCAAACATTCTCGCTCTTTGGTCGGGTTGTTGTCTCTTTGACACATTCCCCGTTTCCATTCTCAATTTTATCAATTAAATTTGTTATCTTTCATTATTTCTTTTAATTTATTCATGCCTGTGGTCTAGTCAATATCAGAATTGCTTAATTTATAAACTTTTGTGGACATAAAAAATATTATGTGTTATAATATTTGGGTTTGTGAGAAAAATTAGGGTGGTGCGATAATTTTTTGTAGATGTATTGATAGTTGTCATCTCTAATTAGTAACTTAAATTGCCTATTTTGATAAATAACTTTGTTTTGTATCATCTTGTTACTGCTTTAATATAGTTCATGATTATTTGTGATATTTACCGTATGTCACACATAAACTTGTCTAAAAGTTTCCTAATAATCAAATCTTGAAAATTTTGAAAATCATGAAAAATCTCGAGAAAAAAGTTTTAGTATAAAAAAGAATAAGATATGGTATGATTGCCAATGAGACAACTCTCCACCAGAGACCAAGCACAACAAAATAACAAGCTGTAAAAATCAGTTGAAAGGGGTTTAACTCACCAGATCTATACAACCATTAATATCATTACATTAATTTTTCCAGTTACTATTCAAATAATTTCTAAACATATATATACATACCTGTACAATTCGGAGGAATTCCTTGTATCCAAATTTTGTCATCATTACAAACATATTCTTTTGATGTCTGTTTAGATATCTGGTATTTATCAGAACATGACATTGTACAGATTTGATTACCCAGAACCGTGGAACATGCCAGAGCACCTCCAGCCGGTGGTGGTAGATCAGGACATGCTGAACAATTAAAAAAGGTTTGATATTAAGATTTTCCTTCATACTTGTCAAGTTTTTTCTTTACACAATGTTTTGCACTGCATTGCCTATATTTCTCAATATATTCTAAAAGCATACATGATAAAATTCTTCAGATAAAATATTTACTTTTGTGTTATTTTTTGTCATGTTTTATGTACTTTTCCCTTTTTGAATTTACCTTGGAGATCGGTATTTTTGTTTATAACTTTTTCTACACATTTCATACAGTTTCACATTTATTTTTTTAAATTTTAAACTATGAAAAGGTATATTGCATTGCTTCTTGGCTAAAATTCTTCTATTTCAAATGTCTCAAAAGGATGAAAACACCCTTATCTGTCATGAATTCCGATAAATTGTACATTTTTTCTGGAGAAAGAATGCAAATGTTGTTATACAGCAGATTGAGTACTATTTAAAGTATGACTTTTGAACATGGAGTTTATTACTTTATATTAAATTTATGTCGATGAACTGTGTTTAAACAATGTTTCCCTTCTATAAAAGGAATCAAAAGTGCATTAACATAATAAATAATCGCCCACCATATGTTCGGTCAATGTTATGTGAACGAAAAGAACTGGGTTCTGTTTTCGTAATCGTCCTTAATTTATGGCAAACATGAAACATCGCGCTTTAAATTTCATTAAAGTATAAACTTAAAACCTTCCATCCTTTATGGGTGGATTTTACATAGATAAATAAAATCATATAATATAAGCAAAATGAGGATTTTAAATTTGATGTATGCCTTTTTGTGCTTCTTCGTTACATTTGTTTGTTTTTATAGTGATTAAGATGATAACACAATGTTGACTGCTGTACCCCTATTTTTGACATTTTTACCTATTGTGTCTGTTTGTTTTGTTCACGCATCGTTATCAATATAATGGAATTTGATGCGACTGTCATACAAGTGAGAGGTTTAGCTAGCTATAAAACCAGGTTCAATCCACCATTTTCTACATAAGAAAATGCCTGTACCAAGTCAGGAATATGACAGTTGTTATCCATTCGTTTGATGTGTTTGTTTTTTTGATTTTGCCATTTGATTGGGAACTTTCCTTTTTTTGAATTTTCCTCGGAGTTCAGTATTTTTGTGATTTTACTTTTTTCAACCCTTTTGCAAAATTTAATTTTTTTCAACCCTTTGCATGCCAAGGCGACGAATATGTCATTGCAATGTTAAATCATTCTACTCTGAAACAACACTTATAAAACAAAAGATGACTTTTTTACATCTTAGGCTAACAAAAATGAAAAAACTGCTTAAATTCTGCCATTAAATTTGAAAATCGTTATATTCAAACATTGATGTATAAACTAAAATTTGACATCATTTACAATTCACAATTTTCAAAAACCTAATTTTCCTAAGCATTATTGATCTAACTTTCGACTAGTTCAATTCCTTTTTATGATGTGTTGATATCAGATTAGATCTTTCTTAGGTATTTTGTCCGATTTTTTCGAAAGCAAAGACAATCCAACTAGTATTCAAAATTATGATCTTATACATCGAAGTGCACAATTATGACGTGAAAATGGCATATCAAATGAATTATTATGTCAATAGCATTAGTGCTATTATCAGGTTTTCTGTCATGGTTATTTTTTTCTTTTTTGCTGTTACATCCATATGATTTCTTACCCCAAGGTTGACTAGGGGATAGAAATATGGCAACCTTAGTCACCTTGATATTCCGATCGGCAGTAAAACTATTGTGTCTAACGTCATCGTACCCACACTGCATCAAGTACCCAAATTGAACCCACTTTGCAAACTAAGCAGCGAAAATATTACAAGGTTTTCTTCGAGACTAATTAATTTGTATTTTTAGAATTTGCCATTATGCATGTCTTTCAACGAAGCTTAACATATTTAAATATACACAAACGGTCATATTATATATCAACAGATGAAGTATCCAGTAAAAAGAGTAAAGTCTACGGAAACGTCTCATGCGACGTCCACAAAAAGTCATCTTTTAAAAATGAGCAATTAAAATATGTCACAGATATCTATTTCTCGCAAAATGAATTGTAAGCATGAACAATTGTCAAATTATAGGCTTTGAGTACAAATGAAATAAGAATTTTAAAATATAGTACGTTCGCAGCTATTTTCAGGATTGACCTACATGATCAACATTCAAACCTAGAAGTATGTATAAGTACTTGAATACATTACGAGCTATACGACAAAGAGGGACCTAAACAGAATTTTTAAATGAATATAAAGCCATTTTGTCTGAGGGAGTTGGAACCTTAATTTGTTGATAATTTCTTAATTCATCAACAGAGAATTTAAGTAAAAAGAAAACATGTTACAAATCATTTCGGTACCGAAACATTGACTTCTGACCTTATGATAACCTCATAGACTAGCAGTCCACCAGCAGCAAAATATAACCGCTTCTTGTTAATAAAAATAACACACTTTATTAATTTTGTGCGTCCGAACCGCTTTTCTTGATTTACCTTTATCTAAAATCTGATGGCCAGTACTCCTATTACGATGCATTACATGTTCGTTTGTTTCCCTTGTATATAGGAGAAATTTTTTATCAGTATATTTTGTATATATCTATAAGTACTGTAGAGGCCATAAAACACATAACACACTTACTCAACTTTTCACAGTAAGATTCATTGGCGTTTTTCCAATCCCAAAATGCTTTGTTTTCAAAATTTGGATGTTTTTGACATGTAACATTCGTGCCGCCTTTCAGTTCGTAGCTTAAAAAACAGGAAATTGAACATGTTGATCCAAAGGAATAACCATTCGGGCACTGAACTAGTAAATACTGGTCTTGAACAACAAGCGGATCACAAGTAAGCTCTGTAAAAATAAATAATAATAATGTTATACATGTAGAAAATTGTTACCGATAAGGTTGTTCTTATATTATATGGTACAAATGTATAATGAAAAAACAAAATCTAACCTGTTTAACTGCTGGTTCAAATGCAATGAAATAAAAATATATAATAGGATTTTGAAATGTTGACATATGATTCAGGAAAAACCAATAAAAACACCTTTGCGTGGACCTTCTGAATGCCTTACCAGTTCGTTTTTATGACTAAACGGGGGGAAATATATCAGTCGTACCTTCAACTATGACTGTAAATGTACACAATCCACCATTATTGTTATTGTCTGTTGCAGTGTAAGTTATGTCATGGTAACCTATTTCAAAGTTTGATCTTGGAGCTTGTCCAAGTACTTGGGATACAGTTATTCCACTACTACCTCCGCAACTGTCTGCATATTGTGAATTGTCTGATGCTTCTGGTATTGGCCAATCAACAATTGCAAAACCATTTACATCAGAAAATGCATGAACTGACTCTGGACACAATGAAAACTCGGGAGGCTGAACATCTGTCGCAAATAAAATATTATACATATATTATCTGTTACGACATTAATGAAAATATTTGATGATTCAACAAGCGTAAATCTTAGAAGAACGAGCAATGTTCATATGCACAAATGACAAAGAAATTTGTCAATTTTTAAACAGTTTGATTGTTTTATTTCAATAACATATAAAATTAAGGAGATGTTGTATGATTGCCAATGTATACATTTCTTACTTTAAAGATAAAGATAAGGATATTATTATTTCAATTAAAGGGCCCATGATGAGCAAAGAAATTTATTTAAGTGATTTTTTTTGTGATTGAGAGCCACAAATGATTTTGACAATCTTAAATAAATATGAATATAACTTAATGTTAGATCCTTAACCACAGCCAGACCAGAGCCATAAGAATGTGTGTAATAAAGCAGTAACAAAACAGATTGAATAAAATATCAATAGGCAATACTCTTAATGGGTTACATATAAACATATCTCTATTATATTGATAGTTTTTCTGAGTTCAAAACGTTATTAATATATAAGTTCAAATACTTCTCAATACCTCTAGGTTTTCTTGAATAGAAAGCCAATTGAACCTGGCACTTGTGTTTAACACTTCAAAATTTGATAAAAAAAAACTCTCAAAAGATTAGAATTTATATTTTCTTCAATTTCAACTTTATCCAACATACATTTTTTACATAATATTTGTGATTTATCTATATCGGTTTTTTTATATCAATCAGTCTCTGTTTTAACAGGGTGTGCTCTTATTCTGATCTGGCATAGTGCTTGCCTATCTTTAAATTCTTTTAATTCTGAAACAATTCTGTTCCAACAAATATTTAATTGACAAATAAGTCACGAGTTTACTCTTATCTGTATTTTCTCTAAAATCTTTCCAATGATTAAGAACACTTTCACCTAATGTATCCTCTACTATTTAACATAATCGGCCTGCGCTTACATTTAAGTTTGACAATTCTAGTTCGTTCATTAAAACAATTAATACTTAAACTATACAAAGTGATGCCCCCCACTCCACTCTTAAGTAACTGTATTATAACAAAATCAATGTAGGACTTTCTTTGAGATATTATTGTGTCTGGGAGAAACAAATGATGTCCCCGCAGATGCAAAGAGTTATTTTAAAATACAAAAGTTGAGCATGTGAGCACATAGATCTATGGTTCACTGTAGTAGGAGTTATTCGGAAAAACTATACACCTCTTATGCAAGTATATACTCCAAAAGTGACAAAGTTCAACTATCTCCAAAAAGAGCAACTATTAATAAAAATCAAAACCCTGACCACATGCACACCTTCAATATATGTACAAACACCCAGCAAAGTGAAATCTTCCTAGCATTCAAACTGTAGGAGGAGTAATTCGGAAACGCTATGCACCTCTTATGTAAGTAGATACCCCAAAAAATGATAAAGTTCAACTATCTCCCAAAAGAACAAATATTAATAAAATTCAAAACCCTGACCAGATGCACACCTTCAATATATGTACAAACGGCCAGCAAAGTGAAAACTTCCTAACATTCAAACTGACGGAGAAGTTATCCGGAAACGCTTTGCACCTCTTATGCAATTAAATACGCCAAAAAATGACAAAATTCAGCTATCTCCCAAAAGAGCAGATATTAATAAATATCAAAACCATAACCACTTGCACACTTTTAATATATGTACAAACAGCAAACAAAGAGTAAACTTCCTAGCATTCAAACTGTAGGAGGAGTTATCTGGAATAACTATATACCCATAATGGGACCGACGGACGGAAGGACTGACAGACGGACGGACGGACAAACAATATGCCCCCAACTTTTAGTTGCGGGGGCAAAAAAACCATGTTGTCATATGTTTTAAATGTAACTCTTTATTACAAATATATGCGTAAAGTAACTATACATTTTTAAAATAATGTATCTTGATTCAAAGTTTTTTAAAAGAATGTATAATTAAGGTATATCCTTTATGCCCCTTTGATATTGTAATTACATTTAAATTCTTAAGTGCTTAAATCTTCTAAGACTTTCACACTACCATATAGATGCATGAACAATGGTCCAGTGAAAAGAAAGTTTCATCGATTTCAAACCGAATTATATCTTTAATTTCTAAAATCAGTAAAAGGAGTGCATTTTAAAATGTACATTTTTTTAAAATAGTGCACAAACAAAGACACCCATAAATATATATGTCGCTCTTTTCAAGTTTAACCAAGTAAATGTATTGTCTCTTGTGTTCTCTACAGTTTTATAGTATTGACATTTTCGAATTATATAAAATGTTGTGAATTTCATTTCTCTTGTCAATACGGATAAAGCGGAGAGTTACGGACATATGCTAGACTTGTATGGTGCAATTACTTACTTGTTTACTAGTAAAACGTACAAATTAGAATCTTTAATTCAATAAGAAAATATGTTACCTACATCACAGTATGTTTGATTTGAAGTTATACCTGTTGATAACAAATTGTTGGTGTCTACTGAATAGTAATTGTCGCTTCAGAAAACCATCAGCTGGGTATCGAGTACTTCGGTCAAGTATTAAATATATTTGAACTTTTTGAATACAGATTTTTAGTTTATAAATTATTTTAGTGTATTTAAACTTATGTCACACCATATTTAGGCAAAGGATATATGACACAGTTTTGGGAGTAATGCTGCTAAACGCTTGATGTATTCTTTTTCTTAACGTTTAGTTTCTGGCGAAAATGACAAAGCTAGTTTAAGGATATAAACATTTGGCGTGTGCACTGAAACCTTTCATTTATACAATTTCTAGAGAGTAAATGACACTTAAATATACTTATTTATGAATAAAGCAGAGTAATTCTTTATTTTCTCTCAAATTTAGTTTAAATGAATTAAAGACTTTTGATAGATTATACCATGAATATATTGTATTCGTTAAAAAAAAATGCGGAGTATACGCCAATTAGACAGCAATCCCATTGCATAACAAAAACTTTATAGTAACCTACTTCTCGCAGTCATAGTCTATGCGGTTGCTTTTAGAACTAATGACCAATATTTAAGTCAAATAAAATATTATGAACCAACTTGATTTACTTCTGATATATATATGATTGTTCCGTTTAATACTGCTGTATAGAAGCTGTTGCAAATACATTTGTAGAAACTAAAGGAAAATTCATGTTATGCAATGTTAGTTTCTCTTAATAGTTCTAAATAGTCCTTTAGACACAAAACACAAACTAACAAGATCAATTAACACAAATCACGTCTTTACACTTAATCCATTGGATGTGTACTGATTGATATTTTAATCTGCGCACAAAATTTATTTATTAGTTGCGATTGGTTTTGAACTACCGTTCAGTACCTGCAAGTGCTCTTTCATCGGTACGTTTTGTCTTTATTCTTTTTTATTTGTTTTTTTTTGTGCTTTGTGTTAAGATCTGATGTTTCAAGTTTTTTTCAACTGAATTTTACAGTTTGTTCTTATGTTGTGTTGTGACACTACTGTCATATGTTAATTAAGGGTTGAGCGCTCGCAAACATGTTCAAATCCACCGCATTTATTGTATTGTTTTGAAAAAAGATCAGGCCATTGATATTCTCGTTTGAACTGTTTTACATTTCTTCATGTAAGGGCCTTTAAAACATGCTATAAGGTAATGGTTTTGCTCATTTTTGAAGGCCGGGCGCTGACATATATTTTGGTTTCTGGTTGATAAAAAAAAATCTCACTGGCAATCACATCAAATCTTCTTATTTTTAAACTGAACCATTTCTCCGATTTCGGAGGGAGTAGAAATTTGACCCCATATTTTTGCTACGAAATATCTCAAAACAGTTTAGGATTTCCCAAAACATAACCTTTCATTAAAATGGTAGTTACTTTATACCAAGGAGAGCTATAGCTGTTGAAAAAAATTAGTAAATCGGAATAAATAATAAATACATTCTAATACAAAATGCAAACACACCATATATTTTTACTGATAAGAATAAAACAAATGTTCAAGTACTTTGAATAAAGTCAAATAAAGATATGTTTTATTAAACTTATTCATTTGTAGTGTAGAAGCAATGCACTATGTAAAAATGGTAATTGAAAGCATGTTGTTAAACAATAGTCGTGTTCCTATTATTTTTTTTTATCGATTTCTCGCATGTTTGAATTTGCAAACCTGTCAATTTATAAAAAATGTGTGTGGCAAAGAGAGACAATGCCATCATCATTAGACATGGATACGCCTTTGCATCTCAGCACCTAGTATGAATATCTAAGACGTAAATGAACACTATCATATTCTAAGGTAGGAGGCATTTGGTAATAAAAAGAGCATAATTTGCAAATAAATAGACATATATAAATGAATTCACGAAAAGGGTATGTTTGTAAGAGAAGATATGCTAATGCGAGAACAACAAGTGCAAACTAAACTATATCACGTTTAGTTGTAACATTTTGTTTTCCTGAAAAAGCCGAAAATTTTGTTCATTTAGTATTATAGATGATAATAAGTGAGAGACAGTGGCACACATTTTACATACCTAAACATGGTTGTATATGGTTTACTCCTAGCCACTCATCACCATTACATCTTATATTCTTTGTCATATCTGTGGAATAACCTTCAATACAGGTCGGGTAACACACAGAATCTAAATTATAACCATCAGAACATAGCAACTGTCCATTACAATACGCAGGTGGATCGCTGCATTTCTTCTCTGAAATGAAGGTTTTAAAATTTCCTGAAACATTCTTCATAAAGATAATATAGTGAGGTCGTCAAAACAATTCCGAACGCTTATAACGATCTGGTTCGAATATCTCAAAATTTTGAGGGATTCTTCATTAAAAGATGTTCGCTACTCTTTTTTTTTCCTTTTGTCAGATATTCTGAATTCCCGTTTTATATATGAAGTGTCATTAAAAATTTTGCCCACTAACCCCTACTTTTCTTTTCATCATTTTATTGCATAGAGTTTAAAAAGCCATTTTTGAAATCTTATAAAATCCTTGTTATTTTTTCATAGTTTTTGACAGAAAAAAAGTGGCAATGCTAAATGTATAAAAAATCTAGAGAGAATCATTTCCCGCCAAAATTTCAATGACTGATATCTCGAAAACAAGGACACGGACCCTTCATTTGTTTCTGCTTCTTTGATCCGTTATCCATATACTATCAATTTATAACAGTCTTTTCAAAGTTTTGTTTTTTTAAACAGAGTAGCGAACATCCTTTATTAAGCTTTTGTAAGTCATTATCCCTACTATAAAAGCGCTCCTCAACAAAAGTTGATTACTATAAGCTATAATTTGTATTGCTGTACTGAATTCAATTGTGGATATTTCAAGACATGAGAAATATAATAACTGTTGATTAGTTTTAAACAGAGTTGAGTATGTTAAGAAGCCATTTTTGAAATCTTATAAAATCCTTGGTTTTTTTTTTCATAGTTTTTGACAGAAAAAAGGTGGCAATGCTTAATGTATAAAAAATCTACAGAGAATCATCTCCCGCCAAAATTTCAATGACTGATATCTCGAAAACAAGGACACGGACCCTTCATTTGTTTCTGCTTCTTTGATCCGTTATCCATATACTATCAATTTATAACAGTCTTTTCAAAGTTTTGTTATTTTGAAACAGAGTAGCGAACATCCTTAATTAAGCTTTTGTAAGTCATAATCCCTACTATAAAAGCGCTCCTGAACAAAAGTTGATTACTATAAGCTATAATTTGTATCGCTGTACTGAATTCAATTGTGGATATTTCAAGACATGAGAAATATAATAACTGTTGATTAGTTTCAAACAGAGTTGAGTATGTTTAAGTATGTTCGCTACTCTTGTTTTTGACTTTTAGTCAGATATTTTGAATCCTCTAGTTTTATCCATTTGGTGCCAATTAAATATTTGCCCGCAAACCCCCTACTTTTCTTTTCATAATTTTACTACATTTTGTTTAAAATATAATTTTTGAAAATCTTATAAAATCCTTATTTTTCCTAGTTTTTGAAACAAAAATGTGCCAATGGTAAATGTATGTAACATCTAGAGAGAATCGTTTCCCACCAAATTTTATTATATCGCACACGGAGAACACGGACCTTGCATTTGTTTATGGTTTTTTTTATTTCTGTTTCTTCTTTTTAATTCATAAAGCTTGTAATTTTGAAACAGAGTAGAGAAAATCTTTAATTAAAACGGGTTTAAAAATATATTAACCGAAACGTAACGACTGATCATGGAAAGATCACAAAATTAAAGTCATCCCTCTTGTCATTAAGTTCAGATTTCAATCTACCCTCAATGTCATCTTCTAGGTGTAAGTCAAGATATGAAGCAGACAGACCTAATTGTTACTTTGGTACCTAGTTCGCGTTCAGTGCAATAGATAAGTTAAACATGGTCAAACTTCAATTTAAACAATGAGCGAACACCATCTTAAAAGCGGAACATGATGTTAAAGGATATGTTGGATTCTTTTCGTTCTTCTTGAGACTTCCTCGTGTGAAATCTGTTTCATGCTCTTCAACTTCGTACTTTATTTGACTTTTTCGACTTTTTTGGATTCGGGCGTCACTGATAAGTCTTTGTAGACGAAACGCGCGTCTGGCGCAAATACAAGATTTCAATCCTGGTACCTATGATCAGTTTATTTTCATATGAATAAAAAAAAAGCCCTACAGTGCGTTTTTTCTTCATTATTTGACACAGCCCACAGTCAATTCGTTTAAAACGAAAGAATTATGGTAGATTACCAAAATAACTATATCATCCCTTTCATTGATTATACATTTTTGTCAAACTCTCAAGAGTAATAATTTTTTGTGTTTTATGCATCCTTACTTTCACACACAAATTTATCCGAAGGTTGCCATTCTCCGATCAATCCACTTTTTTCACATATTTTTGTTGTTGGACTAGATATTGAAAGCTGATACCCTGTATTACAGAAAAATTCACAGGTCGTCCCATACAAAGCAGGTGTATCACATGTTGCTCTGCCGTGCTTTCCATACAAACTAATGCCGAAATAACAATATATAACTGAAAACAGTTAACCATATTAGTGTGACTTCTAATAAATGACCTTCACTAGGGCCTTGTGAAATTAATGACCAAGAGAAATGGGTAAATAATCTTCACGCTTTCAAACTTCAAGTACTATGGTTGATTAATTGTATGATACCTTTAACATTTTAATGTCACAATGAATATACTTGCCATTTTTTTAACGTGCTAGGTAGTTCACAGTCTGTAAAAAGACATGTCACCGAACTCAGACATATTATTTGTCGTATCTTCTAGGGCTGCTTACCTAGCGGAGAAACGACAAACATTCCTTCAAAACACTTTGGTTTGACCGTCTCAACTACTCTCGAGACAATCGAGGGGTTGCAAGTCTCATTACCTAGTATTTTGGGCCCATTTAATCACTTCTGTATCTCATTTCACAGACTTACATGAACATCTGAGATTTGTTAATGAAATCAATGGTTGAAAGCCATTTTTCAAATTTCCATTATAAATGAAATTACGAAAACTCTTTTGCCCAAATAAGTCTTTAAAAAAATAGTTTCATTTAATACATATCAACATTGTTATTGCTAATATTGTTACTGAAAACTAGATAAAAGAATACGATAAACCGGGGATACAGTCTCCTTTTTTCAGTTACAAAATAACCAACTGACAATAACCACTAAAATTTTTGACACCAATTTCTTTTTTTCAATCTTTGAGCCTAACGTTTCTACATCGGTTTATCAAAAAAAGAGACTCTTCTTCTGTTACTATCTTTATTATCTGTGTATTGTCTTAATGGGTACGATTAGGTTTTACTCCTAAATTCCAAGGGTTCTTTTAGTGTTGCGCGCTTGCTGATTTCTGGATAAACAAGATAGACTCAAAGTATCGTGAAAAACAAGAAATTTATGTTTTACATTTCATTTATTTGTATATGCTTGTAATTTTGTGATATATAGATAAAACATTTCTGTTAATTTTTAGGCTCGTCATTTGGATTCTGGTTAATAGTTTCACATTTCCTAATGTTTTAAAAACTCATTTCATTTATTTGTTTTTATATGCTTGTAATTGTGTGATAAATATATAATATTTCCGTGATTTTTTAGACTCGTCATTTGGATTCTGGTTGATAGTTTCACATCCCGTTATGTATTTAATCATGTAATTGTATGATACATATACAATATTTCTGTGATTTGTTTTTGACAAATCCGCATACCACAAGTTTAAGGCATCAATTGAAATAAGAAACAAGGTTTGGACCTCTTTATAATTTCAATATCATCCGACTCATATAACAGAGGATAAAAGTGAAAAATATCAGTTCAAAGTTATCCTCACATGCAAATTACAAACTTCGGTTCCAAGTTTTCTTTACATTAGATGAACAGTAAATAAAGGCAACAGTAGTATACCGCTGTTCAAAAGTCATAACAGTAAAACATAATGCATTTTGACCCACCTGACCTTGACATTAAAAGTAAAACTCACCTTTGACCTGAAATCTAATGGTACAAGTATCTGTGTTTCCAACATCGTCTCTAGCCGTATAAAGAATCGTATGACTACCATCTCCAAACTTTGAATTGGGTGGCGTACCATCCAAATCAACACTTAAAAGGATAGTATAACTAATATCATATAACAAACACATTTTTCTTGATGGTTTCTTCTTTTGTTTCTTTTCTTTTTTTATTATTTTGCACTTTTATAGTTTTGCTTAATGCATAATATTTAGAATAGAACTTATATAAAAATCATGTGTCAAATAGCCCGTAAATCAAACGTCATAGGCAGACGTGGTGAAATAAACAAAGTATGGTATAATTTGCATTGTCAAATGTTTTGGTTTTTGATTGCAATTTGAATCAGAGACAATGATTCAGAATTTCAAAAAGGCGGTAATGTATTTTAGTATGCATACAAATTGCAATTTTGCTCTAGGAATCCTATCATTGATCCACCTGTAATTTATCAATATACATAAATGCTTTAAACATAAACGATAGTTATGTTCTTATTTTGATGACTTTGTTATTAGCTACATAATAACTTGTATTTCTTTTTATGTGGATTCTCCCACTGTAGAGTTATACTATTTATTCAATCGTCTAAGTGTATTTTCTAGAGAACCCGGAATACCAATGTGTCTTCCATAAGATCATTTCATCTGTAACAACTTACGCTGAAATAATACTTTCACAATGAATTTTTGACATATTCAGCAGTTATTCTACAAACCTTTCCAGCTTTCCTTCCGGATCAGATGCAGTAGGCACGTCCCATGTCACAACTACAGTATCCATCCCTTTGTCCGGATAGAACGGACCCACTACAGGTGGACATGTTATTGTGGGTGGTTTATTAACTACATATTCTGTAAGTTAATAAGCCAAATGTGTCAGGTAAATTACTAATTAGCACATACTTACAACTTCTCGTCCAATCAAATTTCTTGAATCTGCCTTCTAATTTTCATAGTACATATGTTTTTCCTTGTACTAAGTAACTATGCATGAATGACCACAAGGGTAAGTTTTCATTGTATCAAGGTATTAAAACAAAAATTGCCACTGGCTATTTTGAAGTAAAAAGCTGTGTTCCAAATTAAATTAATTAGTTTATTATTAGTTTTTGCATTGATTTTTAAATATCCTGCTATCAAAATCTTTGGATCTAAAAATGTTTTTGACAATTGCAAGTTTCTTTCATTTAAATAACGAGTAACAACTATGGTTCTTTAAACCTTGATTAAAGTACAAAGCTATCTTAAATCTGTGATAATTTATCATCCATGCAATTACTTTGTACGCAAAAAAAAGTGTGTATTATGAAACTAAAGGAAATTAAGGCAACTTGGGGATGATTTTTTAAACTTTCTTAAGGAAATTAATCTATTTCGTCATGAATTGATTGATTGATTGATTATTGGTTGCTTAATGTCCAGTGGAAAATATTTCATGCATTTACGAAACCTATAATCTTTGAACTTAGTTGGTAGTTGCTTTTTAATGCCTATCCCCTAGACTATCTATGGGAACAAACTATCTGTATGTTTCAAATTTATTATAGCTTTAGTTTTACTGTGAAATTAAAAAAAAAATTTCAAAACATGTTTGCTTCCACTGTAAAACACCGCTTTATATCAATATACATACTTACACCAGCAGCTACCATCTTTTCATTTTGGAGTCAAGGGCCTTTTGAAATCGCATATTTTACAATGATACTAGTGAGTAGATTTACAAAACATAATACTTCATTAATGAGCTCCGGTTTACAAACACTTGTGATACAAGAAGTCAGCCAAAATAATATGTCAATGGACCAATTAAAAGATTACTCGAGTTGTAAATATGTGCTAAATTGGATAGTCTATGAAAAGGTATATACTATGAAATTAAGTGCTCGGGTCAAGCCTCTCGCTCTAATTGTCATAGTACATACCTTTTCATAGACTAACCTAGACTTATCTTATGATATATACTAAATAGAAATCAATATTGGGTGTGTGTGGGTGTGTGTTTTAATGGCAATCGAGAACAAAGATCATTTGAAAAGGGTATGTCCTCGATTGTGATTAGTCGTGGATCTAATATAATAAAATTTTGTAATTCCTTTCACACATTTTTCTGATTTAGCTTATGAACATTAGATATTCAATAATTTATCATTTTTATATTTAACATAAAAAAAAGTAGAGGATTGTTCTATGACGTCGATTCAAAAACAAAAGCACATCTAAAGGTCAATAGACGGGCGTCTACATAATTTAATTTTACATGCAAAATATTCGAAAGACCAATTTAATTTGATAATATTACTTACCTATGCCTCCACCTCCACCACAAAATGCAGCACAAAGTGCAGCCCCGCCAAGAAATGCAGCGGCAACCCAAAACCATCGTTTAGATATCACGTGTCCATTTGCTGTACCTGTGAAGATTGTCAATTACAATAATGTTGAAAAGATACATTTAAATGTTTCCGATGGAGGGGTGCCCCTTGCTGTAGTATAAGAAGAAGATATGTATTTCCGTTAGATGAGCCTACAATGAGCACATTATATCAGACATTGTTTAAGACAAAAAGAATAAGATACAAAGTACAAACATTGTTAACATGCATTATATCTAAATTAAAAACGTTAAGTATATAAAAAGTTCAGATTGATCTAGTTTCTAAAATTATCATTACAATTATGACGGTAGAAAATTTATGCATAATATATTCAAAAAATAACATATCCTACAAAGTGCAGTGATATTAACATATACTGAACTTTTGAAATTTGTTATCTTATTATCAAAAATAAAGTATGTGACAGCGTTTAGAAATCGGTCAATTAAAGGGGGATATTCAATCCTCCAAATAAGTATATGATAACAGGAAGCAAGGATATAAATGCATTCCTTGTATTCTCAAACATTGATGTTAGAAAAATGCATATATTATATATGTCACCAACATGGTAAAAACTAGCCTGTACTTTTGTGATGTAAGTAGATAAAAAATCCCTGGTCACATACAAATGTTTCTACCGGATTATCGGATTGGATCCTACCCTCACTTATGTAGGTACACAAAGCTCCTGATGGAACAGTATCTGTAGCTGAATCCACATCACATCCGACGAGCTGTCGATCTTCAATTTGTATTTTACAGTCTTCGTTAGCTTTTTGACTAATCTCATTTACCTAGAGAGATTTAAATGAGTCTTCTATTATGCAAAACAATATTATGTCGTCTCTATTTTTTTTATGGATAAAACAATGCATACTATAAAAGAGTAAACATTGTTAAATATAATAGGTTTTATTTTTTGGCGTCAAGTCAAATGTTTATATCTATCAGCCAGCCAGGAAGAAAAACCATGCATAAATATACAATATTAGATCAATGTCATAAGAATATCAAATTTTTTGTATGAGGCTTAGAAATTGGAGAAGGGCGCGGTTTACCGAGCCTTTTAACAGTTCCGTATTTAATACAAAAAAGTTGATATTTTTTCTGACATTGACCTTATATTGTTTTAATACTGCAGTTTAATATTGCTACAATTATATTTATGAAAATTTTATTAAAAAAATAAAACTTTTTCCATCCCTAAATGAAGCTCTTGGGTGCGTTCAATATCGTAGCGGCTATGTAGGGCTAAGTAGATTTTAACGACTGAACGTGTAGCTAGCCTAGTCGCTAATAGGTCTAGTTGACGTCCATTGTTACTGAACTAGTACATATTTTTGTTTAGGGGTCAGCTGAAGCACGCCTCCGGGTGCGGGATTTTCTCGCTGTATTGAAAAATCATTGGTGGCCTTCGGCTGTTTTCTGCTCTTTGGTCGGGTTGTTGTCTCTTTGACACATTCCCCATTTCCATTCTCAATTTTACTAGATAGCCCCAAAATATATGCTATCTAGAGAATTCAAAATGGCGTCGGAAGGTTATTACTGGTGACGTCATTTTGATAGGCTAGCTACGTAGCATATCGTTCAACATAAATAAATATCTAAGACATAGCGGCTATACTAGCTGCTACGATATTGAACGCAACCCAGATTGTGAAGAAAAGTGACGTGACATACAATCGACGTTGTAGGAAATATCTATATTTGATAGATACAAACAGCAGGAAGTGTTCTGGCTGCAGTATGAAAATAAAAACACAACTATAAATTAAACATGCAATACAATGTAGAACAATTCTTTTAACAACAAAATATATATATCAGCATACATTGTACATGTAGAATGTTTTTATTTGGATTCAAAATAGTATTCAGGACATACATTTGTATATAGTATATATCCCCCTAAACATTTTTGTTTCAGTGCTGTGTGTATTTATCTCAGTTAACCATGATAAAGCTAATATCAAGCAGATCCGAAAACAAAGAAAACACTTTTGGCCTCATTTAACTTATAAAATACAGATGGACAACAGTGACACATTCTCTTAGTTAAGATTAAATAAAACAAGGGTGAAACATTCACTTTAGTCAACATAAGCAAGGACAACAGGTATTCATTATCTTTATTCAATATAAACAAGGCCATTTGGGACGCGTTATCTATAGTCAATATAAACACATACAATAGGGACACATTATCTTTAGTCAATATAAACAAAGACAACCGGGACACATTATCTTTAGTCAATAAAAACATGGACAATAAGGACACATTATCTTTAGTCAATAGAAACATAGACAATAGGGACACATTACCTTTAGTAAATATAAACAAAGACAATAGGGACAGACTACCTTTAGTCAATATAAACAAAGAAAACAGGTACACATTATCTTTAGTCAATATAAACAAAGACAATAGGGACACATTAACTTTAGTCAATATAAACATAGACAACAGGGACACATTATCTTTAGTCAAAATAAACAAATACAATGGGGGCAAATTATCTTTAGTCAATATACACAAAGGCAACAGGGACACATTATATTTAGTCAATATAAACCTAGACAACATGGACACATTGTATTTAGTCAATATAAACAAAGACAACAGGGACACATTATCTTTAGTCAATATACACAAAGACAACAGGGACACATTATATTTAGTCAATATAAACATAGACAACATGGACACATTGTATTTAGTCAATATAAACATAGACAACAGGGACACATTATCTTTAGTCAATATAAACACTGTCTGAAATGCTGACTAACTAGGAGGAGTGGCTTCTTAGAGATATCACTTCTATTGCCAATGGAGTTCTGTATTTTTGTTATACTTTTTTGATATGACATATCAATTATATGGTCATATTCATAAATTTATAGATTACAAAACTTTTAATTGTTCGAAAAACGAAGGGTGGTCTACCCCCAGGGATAGATTAGGTGGCAAAACATTTCGGTAATTTGCGGTTCCCAATGCTTTCCAACTTTGTATTTAATTTGGCCTTTAAACCATTTTGATTCGAGCGTCACTGATGTGTCTTTTGTAGATGAAAAGCGCGTCTGGAGTACAAAATTGTAGGCCTGGTAGCTTTGATGAGTTTTTTCAGATAAAAACAACGGTAGCATGTTATCTTTATTCAAGATAAGCTTTTTGTATATTGTTTATCCTACTCCTTGGCATTCCTGTTTGAATCCTTTCAACTGTAAAACGATCCTTTCATGCGTTTATTCGTACGAGTCGACATAATCGACAAAATGATTAGGGTTACTCCAAAAACTCGTGACGTGCTCAAAATCATCAGTGTTGTACTTTTATATGGCAAAAATACTTACAGCATCTTGTAAAAGATCTCCTTTTGTAGAAGGCAGTATGAGCAAGACAAATAAACTAATTGCGGACAGCATTTTTTTCTTTCTAAACAAAAGATCATGCCTATAAAAATAAAAGAGAAAACAGTTACAGTGTTGAACATTTAGAAGTGTTCAGTATTTCTCTAGGAATAATCACTATGTTTATGGATGCAAGCTAGGATAAGAAGTACATTAACTTTTTTGTTTATATTTTAACCTGCAATTGCTACTATCATGAATATATAGATAACGTATAATAAACGAGTTGTTAACGTTTATAGTCTCCTGATATCCTGCTTCTGCTGTAAGCGAACGGTTATATTCAAATTACTGTTTACGTGACAATTCAATTCGGGGTCCTCATCGCAGTCCGCGTTTACGTCATGTTAATTCCGTATAAAAACAAATTCAACGATTGGAAAGTAAACCGAAACTATACGCCTAAGCGTGACTCATTTATTCAGACATTTATACTATCGCAACAGCTAAATTTCAAACATCCTAAATGCTGGTATACATCATGTAAGTACCGAAGCGCTGCCTACTGGTGATATCATCTGGGGCCAACAGTCCATCAGCACTGGTATCGACCAAGTGCTTGTAAATGAACATAAATTTGTATTCAAACTATGTAAATTTTGAGCTTCCGACTGGCTTTTCTGAGAGATATTAATTATTTACGTCTGATATCCCAGAACATGCATTACGACTTTTTATATAAAAAAATAAGAGAATGAAAAATAAAATTAAATCATTCCTTCGTAAATTTTACGGACGCCATAACGAGTTGGTCAACCGTTATGGGATATATGTGTCACAGATGACGTAACTACAATCCCGTTCCCTTTTCCACCAATGTGACCTACCGAATTAGACTTATAACCGGGTTTGTATTAACATGAGCAACACGACGAGTGCCTATTGTGGATCAGGATCTGCTTACCCTCCCGGAGCAACTGAGATCACCCACAGTTCTTAGTAGGGTTCATGTTTCTCAGTCTTTAGTTTTCTATGTAGTGTTTTGTGTATTGCTGTTTTTCTTTTGTCTTTTTCTTTTTTAGCCATGGTATTGTCAGTTTATTTTCGACTTTTAATGTCCTTTTGGTATGTTTGCCATCTTTCTATTCACCAGAGACCAAATGAGGTGGATATTAGCATTCTTTCATTTTTGCCATTACGTTCAGAAAATGAGTAAAGCGATCGAGATAGAGATAAGCAAGAGCGAAATAAATTAGGCGCAATAGTCTCGATATTTTAAGATGGCAACCAAAAAGTTGAAACCATGGTTGATGATGAGGAAGACACTTACTTTGTATGATAAATGACTACGTGTGAAAAAATATAAATATACATCATGAAAAATTAAAACAATAAATACTATCACTAGATGTATCGATGTGACAAACGGCAAATAATAAAAGTTTTTTAGGAAGAGAACGAATAGAACAAATGAAAATCATTTTTTTTTCCCGTAAAGTCGGTCGGCTTTGAAAAAGAGTTGTCAGGCTCTCTAGTAACGTTCAGTATTCCCGAGGGTTCCGTTCCTCCTGTAGCCAGTTTTCAGTATTGGAATACATTTATGACGGTTCACTTTACACCAATTTGTTATTTGTTGTGCTCTCCAACGTTTCCGAGTTTTGGCTTTCATTTTTTTGTACCGATCGAACCTGATGACAGTTATTCCAGAAAAAAACGTGATGTGCATGTGATATGAGATCAATTCATAAATTAAGTTGTATATGCGATGTTGACACCTTATCTACTAAACATGCGACAATTTCTATCTATAAGTATCAGAGTAAGGGAAGATTCTACGTCTGAACCTATATGTGTATAGTGTAACACCTATAAATGTATGACATTTTAACATGTTGGTCAAACTTCAATCTTTGCAATTTCAATTATCATGTAGTAAAGTTGATTTTCATTGTACAATTTTGTTTATAAAGAAAAATTGTGGTGTATTTACAAGATTTGTTATAAATACCATTTCTATTCCACTATACACTGTTTTATATTTTCACATTAAACTCATTTAATTAAACATCGAATCTAATAAAATGAAGCCAGTATCTTTAAACATCGAAGTTAAAAAAGTAGTGCCAATATCATTAATCATCGAAGCTAACAAAATGAAGCCAGTATCTTTAAACATCGAAGTTAAAAAAAATAATGTCAGTATCATTAAAAATGGAAGCTAACACAATATTGCAAATATCATTAAACATGGAAGCTAATACAATATTGCTGATATCATTAAACATGGAAGCTAACGCAATATTGCCGATATCAATAAACAAGGAAGCTAACGCAATTTTGCCAATATCATTAAACATGGAAGCTAACGCAATATGGCCAATATCATTCAACATGGAAGCTAACGCAATATTGCCGATATCTTTAAACATGGAAGCTAATGCAATTTTGCCAATATCATTAAACATGGAAGCTAACGCAATATTGCCAATATCATTAAACATCGAAGCTTACACAATATTGACAATATCATTAGTTTATAAAAAGATAGAAGATATCAAAGGGAAATTTAAAGTCGAATAAATAAAGGCAGCAGTAGTTTATAGCTGTTCAATAGTCATAATTAAATAAAGGAAAAATAAATCCGGGTAACAAACTAAAACCGAGGGATTAAGACATTTCCGCAAAAGAAATGATGACAAAAACAAAATAAATCATTAAAACTTTTACATTTATATTGATACAATGAATAAATTCGTAAACACCGCACTAGTTGTCCCAATTTTGCCCTTCTAATTAAAAGTCAGTCATAACCCAACTTAAACTTTGTTTTGCGTTATTGTTGACAGATTCTAAGGTAGAATATAGAATTCAGGTTTAGCAGAGCTTGCTGTTTTAATGCAATTAAAGGTGCATTTCTTCTGGAAAACAGTTGCCACATCCTTGGGCCAAAATAAAATTCTTGCAGAAAAATTAAGATGTAGAATACACACCCATATTAACATGTATGTATATAAGTGCATGTGGTGTGTTTTTATTCTCTTTTTTTAGTTAGTCACCACTTAGTGCGACAAGTCTTACTTGTAGTCTATCAAAGTATCTTCAAACACGACCACTAGACTAATAATTAACTATTGTTATTTAATGTATTCTTTACAAATTTATTTTATAGCAAGCACTTCACCTGGGACTAATGCACTGAATTTATATATTATTCACAGACTTCACATAGCACAAAATTATCTAGCTTGGTACACTTATCATATCATACTGATGATTTGGTCTTTACAAATTTCCTATTTTAGTAAGGTCAAATGAAAAACAGTTCTTTATCTGACACTCAAAAACCGAGAATGTGGTTTTAAGCCTTTACGAAACAGTTTTAAATGATTAATCTAGTTTTCGTGTTTATTATGGAGTCATAATGAGCTGATAAAATATATAATGTAGATACATTGAATAAGCATTGGTTCGTTAAAAGGATATTATGAACCCGGAAGGTGAGTGGCCCATGGCTTATCCATTGTTTCTTTTATTTAGATAATTGTTGAAAAGTCTTTTCAAAATTACAGTTCTTTCATTAATTAGGCCATATTATCAGTGTGTTGAAATAACCACCAAATCATCTTGAATGGTTCACAAGAAACAACCAATAGTTAGAAGTATACAGGAAGTGGATTTAAATCATGAAATAATATTTAAAAACAAAATTGTATGCACTTTCAGTATACTATACTGAAATTTCTATTGAATTATTATGAATCTGATTATTATCTGTAATTTACAAATTAAGGCATATTCGAAGTAACTTCTAAGTATATATAATACGTATGTTTCCGAATTTCTAGCAAGAAAACTTATTCTAGGCACATTACGAATTACTCTCATAGTGATTTGCCAATATGCAAATTTAAACATATGTATTATTGTGAACAGATATATCATGTTATGGAGGGGTATTTGCGAAAAATACCAGTTAAGGGACGGTGAAATTTCCCAAGCCGCTAGGCGAGGGAAATTTGGTCCCAAGACTGGTATTTTTCGCAAATACCCCTCCATAACATGATATATCTGTTTAATTACACCGAATGGATTTTGATTGAAACTGTCTGTACATGTAAAGGGAAATCGTAGTACCGCGGTAATTATACATGTACTTATATGCGTTACTGTTGTCTTTTTGTAACGTCATGGTATCTATATGTGTAAACGTCATTGTTATTCCATCATTAAATCGTTCATTTGTATAGACATTTTTTTTCCCTCTTTATATGTATATTTCTGACAGTTTTCGGTTTAACTCAATCAATAGTGCTTAACCATGTTGTCGGGATAAAGTGAGAAATGTTCCGAATAATTTTGGCGGGAACAGGCTCGCGAGGGTAAAAAAGGAATATCCAAAATGGCAAATACCACGGCAGAGAGGGGAATTTGAGGCAAATTCCCCGGCAGAGGTGAAAAAACAGGCAAATTCGTTTGAAATGAGGAAAAAATGTTAGAATATGCGAAAAAATACACTGGCTAACAACCAATCAAAATCCGGCATTCTTATATAAGGTGTAATTACGAATCAAATGAAAGTCTTCCACAGAGTCGTCTGCTCTTGACCAGGGTATTTAAACTTTTGTCTATTCTCTTGTCCTATTGAATAAATACAATAGCTATTGTTCTCTGTGTAGTTTTTTCACTGGGACCTTTAAATTTCTTCTAGGAGAAATCTATCACTCATTGATTAATTTACCTGACCAAAAAATTATCTTCTTTTTTGGGGGAAATAGTTGTATAAACTCGCATAAACTGCATGCAATATTGTATTTAATCAATATCAATAATATATTTTCAATCTGTTCAATATATACACTGATTTAATTATAAAAAGTTTATTTCTGACAAAATTTTTAGTATTGTTCCAATGAATTTGCATGTTTTTGTTGTTGTTCAGTTATAGAATACATTTAAACACAATTTTTTTCAATTTTTTTTTTGCCAAACACACAAAAAAAAGCAAATTTTAATAGGGAAAATATAAAAAATTTGTTTAGAAATCAACTTTTAATTTTTATATCAGTGTTTATATTGAAACTATTAAAGATGAATTATTGATATTGAATAAATACAACATCACATGCAGTTTTTTTGAGTCCTTATTTAGTATTTGTACATGTATTTTCATTTTTGACAGTTCAATTTTTTGTTCAGGTAAAGTTAATCAGTGAGTGATAGATTTCTCTTGGAAGAAATTTAAAGGTCCCATCAAATAAACTATACACTTTTGCCATTTGAAAAAGGACTTTCCGTTTTGAATTCCCCTTGGATTTCGGTTCTTTTCTATAATTATACTTTATACATGAAGCACTACCAAATAAAATTGTAAAGAGCAGGTTAAGTGACAAAAGACGATTATTAGTCCAGTGGTTGAGGTTATAGAGAGTTCGCTAAACTACTAATATTAGACATTTTTTTGGAAAGTCGTCTAGTCAGACGCTTCTATCGACATTCATACCTATGTTGATTAAAAATAGAGGGGTCGTCTCAAAATGTCGAAATATTCTGAATTGATATTGATTGGATTTGCTATAAACGTGTAAGAAAAACAATTCCAAAACATTATAAATGTATTCAAAAGTAAAATCACAAAAATACTGAACTCCGAGGAAAAGTCAAAAAGGAAAGTCCCTAATCAAATGGCAAAATCAAAAGCTCAAACACATCAAACGAATGGATAACAACTGTCATATTCCTGACTTGGTACAGGCATTTTCTTATGTAGAAAATGGTGGATTGAACCTGGTTTTATAGCTAGCTAAACCTCTCACTTGTGTGACAGTCGCATCAAATTCCATTATATTGACAACGATGCGTGAACAAAACAAACAGACACAATAGGTAAAAATGTCAAAAATAGGGGTACAGCAGTCAACATTGTGTTATCATCTTAATCACTATAAAAACAAACAAATGTAACAAAGAAGCACAAAAAGGCATACATCAAATTCAACATCCTCATTTTGCTTTTTTATTATACGATTTTATTTATCTATGTAAAATCCACCCATAAAGAATGGAAGGTTTTAAGTACTGGCGTAGAATCGCGCGTTTGACGTCACACATGTAGATATAAAATGATTTTGTCGTTCAAAGTATGACGGGATACATAAGAACAGAGTCACGTCAAATGGATATCACAAAAAACAGACTTAACAGTAAAAGTAATATTAATAAAGACAAATAAAAGAATACTATAACACGTTATTAAGATGATAAACAACGTCAGTACGCAGAATCTATAGTTGGTATATTGCTACTAAAGGGGGGGGGGGGGGGGGGGGGATTGATAATTTCAAAATTAAAATCATCTCGTTTGTCATAGATTCTGGTACTGAGATGACTGTGTATGTCAAATTCGAGTATTCAAATTCAAGTCAACTTTTAGATGATATTTAGGGAAAAGAAGGTCCTTGAAATTGTAAAATGGTTGATTCCGTATTTTATAAAAATTTATCTTTCCAAAATACGATAGCTATTCGTTTTCCCGTCTCCCATACAAGCATCGTCTGTTCTAATGAATAATCTTGCGTTTTGAATTGAATGTAAAATCTCAACAGAAGACTAAACTTTACTGCCATAATACGCATGTAGATCAATGACAAACTACTTACTAAGTTTTCCCTATTTTACTATATCATTTTTAAGTAAGTTGAAAACGATATTCAAACTATTGCATATTCATGAAATAAAAGTTTCTGTTCAAAGATGTTTTTGTTGATGTGTTATCAAAATAATAAACGTCCTTTTACACGGCAATATGTGCACGTATTTATTTATTCATTTATTTTCAAACACAACATATCACTACTGGATTATTTATTAAATTGCAATATTAAATTGAATATACCTATGGTATCTTTCGCCTCTCTTTTAACATTTTTTTTATTCTGTTTAGGGGAATACGTTAAAAAAAATTGCGTTCGGAACATTTTTATCGCGCAAATTATCTCTACTGATTGAAATCTGAGCAGGCTTCGTTTTTCGTTGATGTCAGTTGTTCTTTTAAACAAAGTATTACATAATCTATACTAAGTTATGTTTCACATCATTAAAGGCTTTATATTTTTCTGTTTTTGTTCTACTTTTTAAATCTCTTTTTCTTTAATTTTCACAAAAACAAAAAACATTACATTTTTAATTGAGCATCGGACAATTCTATTTTACTAAACCGACAAATCAATTCAATTCTATTCAAAGAATGTTATTGTTCATAAGTCAAAATACATTTAAACCAAGGGATTGGACAAAAGGCAAAGCCTTTACGAATCTTTTTCCATGCAAGATTAATTTAAGAATTTACTAGTATATAATATATTTCTGATCATTCATAGATCATTCATTATTACATTGATTCAGGAGAGGCAACATCCTCCCCTTCCCAGCTTTTAGACTTTTTTTGTTATTGTATATGCATATCTAATGAATAATTATCAGTGAACACTACTCTGAATAAAAATGTCAACTTTCATATCACATAAAAATTAAAGGTAAAGAATTAAATAAACACGATTCGGTGATATTTACTCAAATTCACAAACTCACTCCATTATATTTGTTTTTGTAATATATAAATAAATATATATATAAGAATTATTGCCCCTTATTTTTCAATATGTGTACAGAGTCAGACAGTATACCATCTTATTACAAAATCCGTTATTTGCATGATTTTTTATAACACTTTTATTATTTTTGTGTGTATAATTTCTATCTAGGTGTTCCTTTCGAAGCCCAGATACAATTCTAGCAGTAGCTTTTTGTACAGACTCAACTAGATCTGATTCTTCTTTTGTGCAGTTATCTCCAATTATATTCCCATATTCTAAAGGTAGGTCTAATACAAGCAATATACAGTCTTTCTAACGACTATCTATCAATTTTATTTTTTAAATATCTCATTGTATTAAGACGTCTACAAGCTTTTGTATAGATATCCCCGTATGTGACTTCTCAATCTGGTATTAGATGATAGGGCTATTCCAAGATGCTTATGTTCTTATATATTTTTAAGGATGTATTATTCGTGCATAATGGTGAACAGATAAGTAATCATGGAACAAAGCATCAAAATAAATAAATGTTTTAGATAGTATATAATATATATGTAATAAACCACCATTAGATGCTATTGTACCTGAAATCATTGTAAACCTTGCGATAATACCCAATTAAAAGGTTACTTGTCGTCCTAGGCTTATGTGTAAGTGTCAGTATCGATTAGTTTTCGAAAATGTCTAGTAAGACTTGCCACACTAACTAAGAAACGAGTGTAGGTAAAAAGTATCCATAACTCTGTCTTAATCAGTCTTGTCAGTCAAATTTTGATGTGACAATGACATTCTTACGAATGTTATATACCAACACTTGATGATTATGCATTTTTCGTGTGCATTATTTATTCCCCTATTGGTCATGTTGATAATTTATAACCTGAAACTTCATGAAATTTTCGGGTCAACACTGATTCTTCTTGGTCAAATTCAGATGCTTTTCGATCATTTTAATTGCAAAATTTGTTATCATAACTGGAAAAAAAATGTACAAAAAAATTAAAAACCTCAAACTGTTCAACGTTGAAAACTCTTATTATGCCCGAGAAACCTTATAGGTAAAAGGGACTGAAAACTTTAAATTTGCTTCACTTAAAGTTGTCCTGAATGAAAATTGAAAAGATAAAAATTCGCTTGAAACTTTTAAACTTTTGAAATTCTTTTAATGGAGTATTACATTTATTTCTATTCCATTTTCATCAAAAGTCGTCTACAATGTATAATACTATTTACTAATTAAGGCTTAACCAAATCGTTGTTTGGTTTTTTAAGACGTCAATATAATAATTTGAATTTTAAACAGACATTTTGATATAAATATAATTCATTTCATATTCCATAACTTTTTGTACTTTCCAAATAATCATTATACAGTGTAGATGACTTGTATGATCAAGGCTTTTTTCCAATTTTTCTGTATTTTAAAGATAACAAGTTAAATATTTTGTAGATAACTTACCTTCATAAAAAAAATAGGCAGATATGGTTTGATTGTCAATGAGACAACTCTGGTGTAGAATAAATAACTATAGGTCACAGTACCCTGTTTGTGTTTAAATGCTACTGATCACCTCGTCAATGTACAAGGAAGTAATTGGTCAGTTGACTGAACTCAAAAAATTCATTTAAGCGTCGATATATTGATGATTGATTTCTGCTGAATTCAAAATTAATTCCGTGTAATGTTGGAAGTCCCATTAATTAATCGTGGTTAATAGATATAAGTTAAATTGTTCGTTAGTGTTATACCTACAAAACTTTTTTTTAATACAGATTTGAAATAACACTAGGTTAAAAAAAATTAAAGGAACCATATTCTGGGGTGATATAACCTAGTACCACTCCAAAGATTATCTGAAGTGTTTGCCAAATATGGTTAAACAAACACATTCAAGTATATTAAATATCTTTAGAAGTGCAGTTCCTTTATAACACACTATGGTATGTACATAATCATTTGTATCAGTGGAAAACACTTCCTTGAGCTAGCTAAAAGAAACGTTGAGATTAATCTTAAAAAACGGTATAACATCAACAGAATGTGATTTTTTATTCAAAAATAAAGAAAGTGCTGTTATGAGTTGCTGTACCGATTATCGTGTTATCTGCATATTGATATTGTAAAATATCAGCTATGAGTCACAATATGAAGCTTTTTTGTCGAGTGAGGGCTGAGAAAAAGTTCAAACAGGTTTCAAATTGTGTCGAGCAGCTAATATTTTACAACATAAATATGATGAAAATCGGATAATCGATTTATCGGATTGTATTTGTGAATTTTGCTAGAAACAAATGTGTTTTCTTTGTTTCACCAGCAAACCGGAAGATGACTTGATAAGTTCGGGTCAAACTTATCAATGTCGGTTCATTCATTGTGACGTCGATGATAAGACCGGTTTTTTAGGCCGGGCTAACATATTTGCCCCCCCCCCCCCCCGTTTTGTTGGAAAAATATCCGCCACTGTTAACAAATTGTCTAGGAGTAACTCAACGGGTGTTACGTGTGGAGCAGGATCTGCTTACCCTTATGGAGCACCTGAAATTAACTTCGGTTTTTGGTTGGGTTCGTGTTGCTCAGTTTTTAGTTTTATATGTTGTGTTGTGTATACTCTTTGTCTTTGGTCCTTTTATCTTTTATTGTCATGGAGTTCTCATTTTATTTTCGACTTAGGGGACGACCATTTGATATTCTGGGGGGGGGGGCGGGGCAGGAGGATTTGTTTTGGATCGGTTATTTATTTTTGTAAACTAAGAGGACAGATTATTTATTTTCTGCACTGTTGAAGCAAGATTTTTCATTTTCATTAAAACAAGGGACTGATTATTTATCTTCATAACTATGTTAATAATATTTGAAAACATACAATTTTTAAATTTATTTTTTGTTATAAATAATACATGTACAGTCAAGTCATTAATGTACCATTTAATCAGAATTAATCCTCCTCCTCTGCGGAAATGAATCTTCTGAATTCCCAACTGCATATACATGTATTGCATACATACACGGTATTAGAGTTGGGCTGTGACTAGCCTCTTTTAAAAGTATTGCCAAATATATTTACGCCGAGCGGAGCGAGGCAAAAAAATTTTGAAGGGTTTTGAAGCCGCTGAAGGCCCAAAGAAACTATAGAACAAATGATGCAAAATCGTGCTTTCTGGCCGTTCCCAGACCCTTTCTTATTCTGAAAACGCAAGTTATGTTTTAATAATTTTTTGACAATATTTTTGTCTCAAAGCAAAATGTAAAGATTCAGCGTAAGACTTAAGTTTTTATGGACAACATCAAAAGACCAAAATGAAAAATAAAGTAAAAATGTAATTCACATAGTTAAGTATGTGGCTGCTGGTTTTTTTTTTTTTTTTTTTTTTTGTTGTTGTTGTTTCGGCATGTTTCTTTTATACCTGTATATTATATGGGGTTTTATTCAAATTAAGCCAACGGTTAAAAGGGGGCTGATTATCAGTGATATAACTATGTCAAGTAATTTTTAATAACACATTTCAATTACAACTTGATGTAGCTCTTAACTGGGATACAATTTAAAGTAGTTAAGTTGTAAAATTAGCTAAAAAGTCTTAAATAAAATAAAACTCATGATCAAGTTGAAAACAAAATTTCTAAATCTCAAAAGGAATGCAACACTAAGAGAATACAGAAGGGCAATCAATGAACAAAAGACAAATTTAAAGAAACATTGAACCCGAAAAAACAGGTGCTATGTCCAAGGGAGAACAGAACTTGCTTCTTGCAAACACTCGCTGTGAAAACAATTTGATATGAAGACAAGCTTTTGGTTTTAAAATTTCCTACATAAAGGCATTTGCCTCAATGTAGTTACAGCCCTGTAATAAAAGTGAGGTAAGTGTTCCTGAGCCAATATACCTCAAGTTAAATGAAACCTATTTTCAGACATTTCAAGTATATTTAAATAATATTTATACCTTTTTTATTAAAAGATTTGGGAAGTGTTTCCCGAATTTGTTTTTGAAAAAAAGATGAATTTTATGAAGAATCTGGTGCCACCTCATACTTTCGAATAGCATTTATAAATGGCTCAAAGACCTGCCGAGACCTGCCGAGTTATTCAATTTCAATACATTGTAAGTCAGGTTATTTATTTACGAACTACCACAGAACAAACCATTTATGTTTGTGATTATCAAGGCTGAGTTATTTATTTTCAAAATCCTCCTGCCCCCCCCCCCCCCCCCCCCCAGAATATCAAATGGTCGTCCCCTTATGTGTTTGAATGTCCTAAGACATCTTTCGCCTCTTTTTCATCAAAAAAGAATTAAAATGTCACAGAAATATTTGACGGAAGGATTTTATTTGATGTACATAATTGCATGTATATAATAAAAACAATGATATTGATTTCATTCCGCAAGACACACGTTCTGAGGGCAAAATTTACAACTCACAATTGTTCGTTGGCCTTATAATTTAAAATGTGAAAACAAACAGCTAAATCTTATCTAGTACATGACTAAATAGAAAAGTGAAAGTCCAAAACAACAAAAAACTAAAATTCATTTCGAGATCAACTTTGTCTGAACGTATAAAACTAAGAAGCCTTTTAATCAAGTCAATATATGACTATCAGCAGTATGCAGGCATTTTAAAATACATTTACATGATAGCGAAAAAACTCAACACGAACTACCAATTATCTGACAATAGCACCAAATACACCTAAACCTGAAAAATCAGCGACATCCACTGACGTAATTCCCAGCGTGGGACAGGACAATTTTTATTTGACAGAGTTAAACAATAAAAAAAAATCAGCCATCCCCTATTATTATCTCGATCAGCGGGAGATAAAAATTTCAATAAAAAGCGCAGTAACAAAAAAAAATCAAACAATGGTGCAACTTAATACATAGTGAGTGTAAGAAAAACACTAAAGTGTGCATTGCAAAAAATAATTTCCGTCAAAATTCAAACACAGAAAAGAAAACTACTTATCTAGCAGCAGAAATATTACATTAAATACCTTTTTTAACACAACAGAAGGTCTTTCTGCTTCACATATTGGTAAATAAGGTTAAAATGAATTTTTATACATATATGCAAAAATTAATTACAATAGTATTTTTTTTTCTATTTGATTAAATGATCGTTTGAAAAATCTGATTGCAAATTTATCTGCTGCAACTCATATAAAGTTTTCTTCTGTAATGAAAAGGGTAAATATGCTAGATATAATTACTGGAGGTGTCATGAGATGACAAAAGCTTTAAATTTTCTCCTTGACAACATTTAAATGCGTTTCGGCAATAAAGTTTTTCGGCAGGTTATATGTATTTCTATGGGCACCAATTGCAACCCTTTGATAACAGACTTGTTCCTGTACTGTTTTGAATAACAGCTTATGGCCAAACTTAGTAAAGACCCGTCTTAGTTCCATTTAATTGATTAATTCAACAACACTTGCCGTTATCTTGATGATATTTTTTCGTTAAATAATCTCTTAATATACTGCCGTAATTTACCCAAAGAAACTTACTTGAAAAAATCCAATATAAACAGCAATAAATTACTTTTCCTATACTAGTATTCAGATATTTCAGTTTAACACGGAAAATTCTACACACACAATTTTTACAACAGTGACGATTCTTTGTTGCCTATTGTTAATTGTTTTTTAGACGGTAATGTTCCTTTGGCACCATCCCCAACTCGTTCGTTATGTCCGTGTCTGTAGGAACGTTTTTTGATTACAATTAACTTAATCTATGTATTACTGGTAAATTATTAAGTCAATGATTTTGTTACTTAAAACCTTTACTAAATTCTTTTATGGATACAAAGATTAGTTTTGAAGTTTGGTTGTACCTGCAGAAAGCTTATAACAAACGGGAAAGGACACCCTAATTTTTTCGGTGATGTTGTTTACCAAACAAGTGAATTTAGATACGATCAGGGTAAACTTATTGATCCTTTAAATAAACTTATTCTTATTCTTAAAGGTTACCAACTCAACATTGTTATTAGATCTTTGAACATTGTTCTATTAGTATACATTTTGATTTTGTTATCAAATTCACGGTCCTACAATCGGTCGATACCTTTATTTTGCCAATGTACAAGGTTTTTTTTTCTCTGACTGTTAAAGACGTCTTTACACTCAATTCATTGGAAGTTAAATGTATACTGATTGGTATTTTAGTCTTAAATACATGATTTTTTTATTTGTTGTTTTCGGCTTTGAACTATCTTTCGGTACAACGTAACTGCGAGTACTCTCAGATATGTACTGTTGTTGTTCTTTCTTTTTTTTTGTGCTTTGTATCGATCTGATGAGTTAAGCCCTATTCAACTCATTGTTATAGTTTGTTCTAATGTTTCGCTGTTACACCACTGTCTCGGGTTATCGGATGGAATGGGCTCTTGCAATTTTTTAAACCCGGCACATTCTGTATGTGCGAGTCCCAAGTCAGTTGCCTGTAATTCAGTGTTTGTCCTTTTTGTTCTGCTTATCATAATTGTTTTTTGCTACCGACCGTGCGAGACCCTCATTGTTAGTCAAGGTCGTTAAACACTCCCTAGTTG